ATAGAGAGAGAGATGACTTTTCTCATTTACATTTAGTTTAACATGATATACTAAAATAACAAAATAAATTTTAGATATAATTAAATTACATATATAATGTAGTTTTAGTTTAATTATATCTATAATTTTATTTATTTTTTGTTATTTAGTATATCATGTTAAACTAAATGTAAATGCGAAAAGCCATCTTGCTTTCTAGTGTAAATAAATTAAGTTTCTTTTATATTTCACTTCAGTTTTTTAATGAAAGTAATGAAAGCCTTTTTTGGTTTATTTTTAGTTAACTATAATAACCCTGACAAACATACATGCCTTAAGTTGAAGGTAATATTCTAAGGCACAATTCCCAAAATACACATTTAAACATTGTAATTATCAGTATTATAAATTTGAGGACGTATGCAAATTGCTCAAGGCACTTTACTCAACACAGTGTTTAAATATAATAAGATTCTAAATGAAACATAACACGTCAACCTATTGCTCAGTGATGCAACAGGTGAAGGTGTGATTAGAAACTGCAAAAGCAGCAAAACAGTAAAGACTCTAATCTACAATTAGTGTTTGGGCAGCATTCATAGGGCCTTAGCCCCAGCCCTTAAATCAACAGATAAATCTGCACCTTCATGTTTCTGTGTAAACAGATCAAATGAGTCAACGTAAATTAAAAGGCATCTAAAATGCCAGCAAACATAACACACGTCATGAGTGCTGCCTAACTTTAACCTATGAAGGGAATCATTATAATGGCTGAATTATAAATGCTGAATTGAATGAATTGTTTGTATTCCACATTTTCTCATGATGCCAAACAATGTGCCCATTCTTACTCGGGGGGACGGGTGTCATCTCCAAGACTTCGGTGCAAGGAGATTCGGTCACTGGCAAACTGGTTAAAGCAGTGCCTGGTCATGCCCTCCTGCTTTTCCTTCTCCTCCTCTGCAGTCATGCTGGCTTTCTGGAAGGCTGCGCCATTGGCTCCCGGTGCTTGAGTGTCCTCAGGAGGTCTCTCGATCCACGGTTTGAGATCCACCTGAGTGTAGAAACCCGAGGGGCAGTTTCGGTTCGGGGTGGGCAGCACTCCCACCGATGGGGGCTGCGGGGCACCGATCTGGAAGGCGAAGTTGTTAACCGCCCCACGGACCATCTCAAATACCCTTTCCTTTTTGTTGGAGAGATCTTGCAGCCAGGGGTCCTGAAGTGAACCACTGCCAACGTCCCTCTGGAGCACCACCAGAATCACCATGAAAACAGTGCCGCCCAGAACAGTAAGCTTTAGGGGGGAGAGACGACGCCTCAGACGCATTCTGTTGGCCAATCTCAGTCACCAAACTGTGAAAACAGACCAAAAATCACTTATGAAGGAAAAACAAAAATCACCACCAAAATGAAAAAAAAAAGAACCATAATAAAATTGTTTATTTACACAAACTCCACAACAAAGCAAGCCATGTCCCACGCTTAATTAGCAGTGAAAGCCTGCACTGTCGACTCTCACATGGAGCACAGCAACAGAGCAAACAAACCTCACCTGACAACAAACACCCTTCTGCACCTGATCCTTCCTTCACCCTGCTGGATCCACGTGGCAGCAGGTGGCTCACGCACACTCCCACTACACTTAATGGGTGGTTTTGGAAGCTTTGCATAAATACACTTCACAACTGTGACACGTTGCCTGTGATCTGACTAACTGAACAGGATCTGGATCTCACCAACTGCTCGGAAGGAGTTTAATGGTCATCTTGAGGACTGGCCAATTTAAAGCACTATCATTCTTGCATTTTAACGTCAAGTAATTGCTTTAAAATAGGGAATGTGAGGACAATGGAACATATGGTGTTAAATGAATCAGTAACCTCAGTGCCCATGGAACCAGTCTATTTAAAAACATCTACATCACAAATCCCAAGGCGGGTTAATGGCCACCAGAGACAGTCAGGCCAACTTCTGCGTAGGTGTTCAGACTTTCTCAATCTTTCAAACTAAAACTGGTTCTCCTGCATTAAAACTGAGTCAGAGCTTATATGGATATTTTCATCAACCTAAAATTATGAAGTAGCATATACTGGTTAAACCGCATTTTTCCTTCGCTGCTGAATGGTCTTTGTGTTTCGCAAATTTCGCAAACCCCAAGCACTTCCTTAAAGTTTAAACAAAAAAAACCATGCCAAGCAACATGACAACTAAGCGAAACTTAACGGAATAGAGAAGGAAGTGAGCCAAGCATATATAATGGTTAAAATAATTACAGCATGACACCGATTTCAATCTTTCACGGTCTTCTAGAAGCCTTATTTTCGAATAAATGAGGATAATGTACGACGAACGAGCTTTTGTGTGCCATTAACAATAAAGATGAAACCCGCTCATGACAAGGAGGAGAGGAAGATACGCCGAGGTTAGATTTCGTTGACAACAGACATGACGCGAAACAAATAAAGCACTCATTTAATTACATTTTCAAAGCTTACCTGTAATAATTTCAGTCAGTCGTGTGTTTCTCCCAGAAGCAGATAATATAGATAAATACGTGTTTCCTAATCTACCGCGGCACTGTTTGTTTCAGCTGCGAGAGTCGGTAGACAGATGTTGTTACTCTGTAACTTCGCGTTTTAGAGATATTGGGTTGACTAAGCGCGCGAGGGTTTCACGCGACCAGCAGCACTGGCCTCCCGGCTTCCCTTTGAACGCAACAGGTGCCATGCGTTCAAATGATTGCGAGTCATCTGGGTCCTAAAGCCGGGTCTTCCTTCTAGTGATGATGGGGATTTTGATTCATCTCAGTGATTCGACTCTATTGAATGTGTTCGTGTTCACCAAAAAGATTCCTTCACGGATACTTTCTGCGGTTTGCTGTAGGCTACATCCGTACGCGAGTAGGTAGTTACATGTCTTTATTTGTCACCGAAGGATTCATCACCCGATTCGTTCAAAACAAAGAATCGTTTTGCGTGTCAAAACCGGCTAAAATAGTTTAGCCTAAGCATCACAAGCATCTCCCCCACGAGTGACTAACCGGACACGCTTCGAAGGGGAGATTCAGTGAACCAAAACGATTCAGTACATGGAAGTGAACGGGAATGATTCACTTTAAAGATTCATTCAAAAACAGCGATTCGGTCACCACATCATTTCAATTGTGGGATCATAGATTTTTCACACAAATCAGTTTTAACTGTTGAAAGTGCTGTTAAACGTGTAGGGGAATTTCAGTGTTGCTTTGCACTTGTCTGAAATTGGATGACGTTGATTACTTAATTAAGGCTCAGGAAAGGATGTGGTAACAAACTATACCTCAACAGATATAAATTATTAACTGGGATGCATTTAAATTCAATGCCTCTTGTGTCGCGTACGTGTAACCGAATACAGATTTATTCAGACATTTGAGAAAGCCAGGCCAAGAGGAAATGGGGTCGGTACTTCTGTAGGAGAGAATCGTAAAATTGGATGACGTTGATTACTTAATTAAGGCTCAGGAAAGGATGTGGTAACAAACTATACCTCAACAGAAATAAATTATTAACTGGGATGCATTTAAATTCAATGCCTCTTGTGTCGCGTACGTGTAACCGAATACAGATTTATTCAGACATTTGAGAAAGCCAGGCCAAGAGGAAATGGGGTCGGTACTTCTGTAGGAGAGAATCGTGATTACAAACTATCGTCTGACATGAGGCTGCTGCTACTTGAAGAAAAGACACCAAGCTGAGCATGAACAAAGAGAAGAGGCCATTAACACAACAATCACTAGAGCCACTCACACCCAACAATGGCCTGTCTGTCTACCTGATGGCTTAGTTTTGAGGTATTACATTCTTTTGATGTACAGTAAAATAAAAGGAAACCTTTTAACAAATGGCACACTCCAAATAGTGTACACTAGTCTGTTACATTTATGTTCAATAAAATAGCTAACATAAAATAAACCGAGCAATCTGTTGAAATCATATTTAATTGTTAAATAATTTTAATGACTAAAAACGTCATATGTAAGTTATATGTAGCTGAGTGACATATTTTGCTATGAATTTATGGTGAAAATTAACAATCAAATTTAGCTTGGCCTCCTGCGGTTGACAGTCAACTTTACTTCTGAATGTTATGCTTTCACTGACCACTTGTTAAAAAAAAAAGTATGTTAGGTTCATTTTTTATACCATATTTGTGGAAAGTGCCTGATATTTAACCTTTTTGTCCAGCTTATTCTGACTTTGGCCTGTATGTCCACATGTAATTCAAATGAGAAGAAATAAATGACAAATTGCACAAACTAGTGTTGGGTGGATATGGTATTGAGACATCATTCTTACAAAAACACCCAATTTATTGATTTGCCACCTTTTAATGAAAAGGGTCCTGAAAGGTCCATGTACCACAAACATATTTAAACTAAAAACCGTGTGTGATTTGATGTCTATGACAAAGTGAGAATGTTAAACATACATGTACATTCATATTGGGAAATTCATGTTAAGGACGGAGAAGGATGTTTCTTGCAACACAATCATCAAGATGCATCTATACAGTAGGAATGGAAAATTCAGAAATATGGCAAAAATACTCTGCAGCAGTGCTAACCTATGCGTTTGACTGGTAATTGCATAATTTTTAAATAATGTTGACAAATGTGCAAGAATGACTAAGAGCGTTCATGAGGAAATGCTGAAATTGACTAATGCTGAACACTGTCAGACAAACAACTTTGCAGTCCAGCCACATTTGTCAGCAACCACTAAGCCCAACAGGCCTCTCAGCACATTTACACATATTTACAAGGGTCTTAAGAAGACTATACCGTTGCTGACCATACTGTGCTGGAATTATATGAGGTCTTGGTCATATTTATGTTCATTTTTTTCATTGATTTATACAGGAATGAATTAAGACTTGAAATTTGTGTAACACATTTATGAACTCAAATGAAAGGGAAATTACATCAGTTATCAATTGAACACATAAATGCAAAGAATTTAATCTAATTAGCACTTAATCCGGCAAAATGGCTATTTTAAATTCATTTTATAAACCTCACAGTGAGCTATTATGTCCTTTTAAAGATAACAGACACACATTTACACACCGTCCACACACATAAATGAACAAATGACCAAGGAAAATTTGTCCAATGCCATTCTCGTCCTTCATTTACCTCTTTTGTACACAAATACTAAAAGGGAAAAACATGTTGATCACTCATAAATCATACGAACTGTAAATACAAGTCACTTGTATTAGGATTCCTGTTTCTAAGGCCTTCAATGAAGACAGATGTTTTTTGCTTTAGTGTTTATAATAGAATACGATGTGGTAGAGAGTGGCATGAGGCCAAAAAAGGAAAGCCAGACAAAAGAATAACACTTGTTTGGACATTGCAAACAGTTTACATGGCGTGTGTAGTGTTCCTATATCAAATCATTTGTTCTTTGGTCAGTTTCTTCTTGCTTCTTGATGCTTGCATATATAATCATTTTTTATTTACATGGTTTAAAACCTGTCAAAATAAATAAAGAATTAAAATTTTGGTATGGAAGAAGTCTTTCCCACAAAATAAAAAAGAAAACCAAACTTTCTTCAATGTCTTCTCTAAGGCAACAGTTCTTCATTAAATCTTTCAGGTAGAGCGTACCTCATTATTCCCAATAGGTGCATATATAAATACCACACATGCCCAACTAATGCTTGTGAGCTAGAAAACTTGTGAGTGGTTATATTTGGATCTGCTCAAATCCCGTTCAGAGCCTTTTGTTGTCCTTCCTTCATTTCAGTGCATTGAGAGGCATTTGGTCAGTGTTAACTGCAGACAGGACCACTGTTGAGGAAATAAGTGGTCATATCTCCTTTCCCCTTCACTTTCACCAGTCCACGGCACTCCAGCTGGTAGCCCTTCCTTTCTAGTACATGGTATAAGTCAGTGGTCACCTGTAGGAATAAAGAACAATATCATAAGCTTTTCATTACACACTGAATTCTAATTAGCCAAAAACTTAAAGGTTTTTCTGCAGCACCAAAGGGAATTGCAAAAATAAAGTTAGTTTTCAAATGGCCAATTCAACTGTCTGCCATTGGTTGGATAAACAGATGCAAGCCATACATGCCCCAAACTCAGGCCATTGGTTAAACCAATGTTGCTATGCCAGGCTGGTCGGGATGCTCAAACAAACAAAGCAATGTTTTTTAACAGCCACAGAGTCAGTGTTTACACTTTTCAGGGAAATCAACTTAAGCCTTGCTTACTTATCATTAATTCTACACATTTAACTGGAATAGAAAGTAGCTAAAACCTAAAAAGTCACAAAAAACTTGCAATTCTGAACTGCAATTGCAGTAACATGAAGAGAGATATGGAAGCATATGGGCAGCAAAACTCATTTTGAAATGTAATATGCAAAATGACAATGCAATATGTAAAATGGCAATGCATTTCTTTATTTAAATTGACATTTTCCCATACATATGTGCAACGTTTAGTGCAGAATTAAAATTCAATTATATAATTTAGATTTGCCATTTCCTACACTAGTTTTAATATGTAAATTAAAAACTTATTTTAATGCTTTATAAGTTGCAAAACTAAAATGAAAATGTATTACCCAAATTGATTATATGTTTAAAAATTGTCCAAGCAAAAACTATAGCAAAATTATCATTTAAATGCCATTTTCCTAAATGCATTTAGACTTACGGGTAGGACACTTGGGACTGCGTGATAATTGTAGCAAAATGCTGTGTGAATTTCAAAATGCATTCTGAGCCAAATGTGCAGCAAAATGGTAGCAAAAAATGGTGATTTAAATGTCTTTTATTTTTCTTAAATGCATTTTATGTCTCTTTTATTTACACTTAAGATGTTTCAATTGCATTTTCATTTTCATTTGAAAATGCATTCTGAGTCGATCACGCACCCAACCTGTCACTCATCAAGGCGGGACTCGGCCACAAGACACACAATAGGTCAATATTCCCCATTAACCAAACGGTTTTCACCTCAGCATCTCTCACTGTTTACACTCCGACTGATGCACATAAGCAAATAGACAGTGCAATTCTACACTTATTTACTTGCCACCTTACACCATGGCTACACCGGACATGACAGTTGTCGTGTAGACACTGTAACGAATCAGCTCATGGGAAATATGAATAATTAACCATAGTCAGGGGCGCGGGAAGATGTTTTAGGTTGGGGGTGCTGTACGCGTGGGGGCCGCGATAGAGGCTACTTACACTAAGTTACACATTGCTAAAACTGCCCGGTCCTGCAGATTTGCTTCATTCAACATCAAGAATATCAGGCCCTTTCTTTCGGAACATGCTTCACAACTCCTTGTTCAAGCTCTTGTTCTGTCCAGGCTGGACAATTGCAAACATTTGCTTCTCTAATCTTTTTGCATTCTATCTATTTGTTTTCTTTTTATTTATTATACAATTAACAAAAGCAAAAAAGGCCTCTAACACTAGCTTGTTCTATTCTTTTTCTATTCTATCTGTTTTCTTTTTATTTATTATATGATTTAAAAAAAAAAAAAAACCTTGCTACGTGTACTGCATTAAGCTAACCGAGACTTGTTATAACACTTGCATATCATTGCTCTTTTGTTTGCTTCCATTGTCCTCATTTGTAAGTCACTTTGGATAAAAGCGTCTGCTAAATGTCTAAATGTAATGTAAAAGTAAGTGCAAATAGCTATAGATTCTATTTATACTATGTTAAAATAGCAGGATATTCTGTTAATAACTTATTGCAAATAGTGGCAATTATCTGCACCTCAGCATTATAATACATTATAAAACAGTATGCAATAATATAATATAATATATATAACTTAAGAGTGTAAATTTTAATTTTAATTCAAATTATTAAATGGATGCCACCTTATTGGGACAAAAGCCCTCCCTACACCTACCCTAACCCTACCCGATACTTTATTTTCAACTTTTTGAATATTTCCTTAATTTTTATAAAAAATAAATGCTTTTCTGATGTGATTTGGAATTTGAAAAGGGAGAAAAAAAGTTCACCAAAAGGCAGATTCGAACCCGGGTCGATCATGTCAAAAAGAGTATAATAAATGCTTTACCATCTATGCCACTGAATCTGACGATTGACGACCGTCTTTTGTAATGTTGACTAGCCCCATCACATGTTGGTGAGTGGAGTTAGTGTAAATTGCCTCTGCCAACAAGGCGGGCTATTTGCACTTAGTGAAAATAGACACTCCGATTTGTTTTTGTTTTTATTCCCAACAGTTAAACAGTTGCCCACAGAAAAAATCAGGGGGTGCTGCAGCACCCCCACTTTCCGCGCCTACGGTGTTGCCTTCCTCTCTTCTAACCCATAATAGAGCGCACGTCCTGTGGCACCTAAGCGTCGAGCATGTCTTAAGATCTCTCAGTCTGTTTACACTCCGGTTGATGCCCGTGACCATACAGAAAACGCTGCTACTCCTGCCTGCCCCAGATGACACTTCACCAGTCCGATCTAGATGCAGCTGTCACAGAACATGCAACAGCCAAAGTCAGATAACTTAATATTAAAAATCACGGGCTTCAATCGCAGTGTCCGGTGGCTGTAAAAAGTGAGAGCTCTTGTGGCAGGCATGTGACATTCAGGTGCCACGGAACACGCGCTATATTACGGATTAAAAGAGAGGAACAAAATATAATGTAAGGTGGTAAATAAGTGTAACGTTAGAATTGTACTATTTACTTACATGCATCACTCAGCGTGCAGACAGTGAGATGTGCGACGCACCTGCAACACTTAGGTGCTCGGGGACACGTGATCCATTATAGGAGAAGAATAAAGTATGGTGGCAAATAGGTAAAAGTGTAGAATTGCACTGTCTGCTTGCTTATGTGTATCAGTCGGAGTGTAAACAGTGAGAGATGTTGAGGCAGGGGAAAAGCGTTTGGTTAATGGGGAATATTGACGTATTGTGCGTCTTGTTGCCGAGACCTGCCTTGATGTAATGATTGACAGGTTAGGGGCGTGATTGGCTCGGAATGCATTTTCAAATCCACATTGACTTAAAGGGGTCATATGATGCGATTTCAAGTTTTCGTTTCTCTTTGGAGTGTTACAAGCTGTTAGTGCATAGATAAGATCCCTAAAGTTGCAAAGACTAAAGTCCCAAACCCAAAGAGATATTCTGTATAAAAGTTAAGACTCGTCCACACCCTCCTAAAATGCCTCGTTTAAACACGCCCCCACATGTCTACGTCACTGTGTGGGAAGATTTGCATAACACCGCCCAAATTTTCACGTAAAGAAAGAAGGCGTAACTTTGATTCTCGCTGTAGTATTGTTGCTGCCGCTGCCGCCATGTCGTGAAGGCGCTGTGTTTCGTTGTGAAAGCGAAACTACTTTGTTTGGTCATCCAAAAGAGGACACTACAAATCAGTGGTTAAGTTGTATTTACAACACTGTTCCAGAACAGTTCGAACCAAATATTCAAGTGTGTGCAGCGCATTTAATGGAGGACTGTTTCCTGAACCTGGGAAAGTAGCCTGCAATGCCGTCTACACACAAAGGCTGTTTCTATAAAGTGGGGCAATTCCAACTTTGCAAGGACAGTCTGGCAATCTGTCACAGCCTGTAAGTACGTTTTCATATTTAAAGGATTTGCCACTGATGATTCAAACGCGAGTTTTGAGCAGTGTAGAGTAACACTTGTTGTTTGTCGTTTCTCCGATCACAAATGCAGACATGGTGTTATGTTTAAGTGGCGCTATATGCAACGCAACGTGTAAAAAGACAGTATAAGTCATTATAATCAGTAATTATGTCCCCACTGGATGCAACAAATGCCTCGTTTGTAATGGTGTTATTGTTTTTGTTTCGTCGCGCCGGTAAGCCCCTCCCCTCGAATGCAGATGAGCCAATGGTAGTCGAGTATCAGTTGCACGGGGAGTGGAACTCAGACATCTTTCAGTTTCAGCGCCATAGAGAAACATTGGAAGATCCGAATCTCGCACTGGTTTAATGGTATTTATGCTACAAAACTGGAAAAATTATGCGCCTAGGGTACTTGTAACACTAATTCCAGTTATTCTGAGAGGATAGGCAATGCAATTAATTTTGAGTTTTACATATTATTTTATTATCTTTTATATATCTCTCCATGGCATATTTAAGTCTCACTTGAAGGTCCATCTGTGTCCCAAATTTATCAGAAACACCTCGGAAGAAGGTTTTCACTGACAACTGTCATTGTAAGACAGTGAGCAACTCCATTTGTTTGTCAGAGTGATCAACAGTAACTAAGGGGGGCGGGGCTTACTGATAGGTCAATTCCGTCACACGCTTGAGGTATTTGGCCAATCACAACGCACTGGATAGCTGGCCAATCAGAGCACACCTCGCTTTTCAGAACGATGAGCTTTGTAAAAATCGACGTGTTTCAGAAAGGCGGGGCATAGAGGAGCAACAATAATGTACACTGTACAGTATGTGGAAAATAATGTGTTTTTTTAACCTTAAACCGCATTAACACATTGCATTACACCAAATAATGTTCTTTTTAGCAACGTCATATGACCCCTTTAAACTACATTATCGCAGGGTATTTAATGAAAATGCAATTTAAACGTCTTAAGTGTAAGTGTCAATGCATTTAAGAAAAATAAAAGACATTTAAATCCCTATTTTTGCTACCATTTTGCTGCACATTTGGCTCCAGAATGCATTTTGAAATTCATGCTGCATTTTGCTACAATTATCACGCAATATCACGATGAAAATGCAGTCCCAAGTGTCCTATCCGTAAGTCTAAATGCATTTAGGAAAAATGGCATTTAAATGATAATTTTGCTACAGTTTTTGCTTGGACATGTTAAACATATCTAATCAATTTGGGTAAATACAATTAAATACAATTTCATTTTAATTTTGCAACTTATAAAGCGTTAAAATATGTTTTTAATTTACATATTAAAACTAGTGTAGGAAATTACAAATGTAAATTATATAATTTAATTTTCATTTTGCACTAAATGTTGCACATATGTATGGGAAAATGTACATTTAAATACAGAAATACATTGCCATTTTACATATTGCATTGTCATTTTGCAAATTACATTTCAAAATGAATTTTGCTACCCATATGCTTTCATAGAGAGAGGGCAGCACCATCTTTATAAATACAATGTTGAACATAGTAACTGATGTATAGTGTTACACTTTTGTAGATGGAAATTAATGGGGGACTCTAAGCTGTGTTTTGCCAAAAATAGTCTTGTATAAGCAAAGAGTTTATTATGTTGTGGTTACCTGGATATGATCAGGAACACCTGTGCTGTCCATGCGACTGGCCACATTCACTGTGTTGCCCCATATGTCATACTGAGGCTTTCTGGCTCCAATCACACTAGTAACCACTGGCCCAATGTTCAAACCTGTGGTAAAAATACATTTGTCATTGTCTGCTCTAACAAACTCCTAAGCCTCTGAGTCTGCAGGCCAATTCATAAATTGTCTTTGCACTTTCAAAGTTAAATATATATCAGGCAAAGTTCACGGTAAAGACCTACTTACCTATCTTCATCTGAAAGTTGTTGAATGAGTGTTCGTTGATGTACTTCATCTGTTCTCGTAGCCTCATGGCATAGTCAGCAAGAGCTAGAATGTGTGTGCGGCCCTCTTTGTCATACGTCGAGTCGTTCAATCCAGATGCTGCCATGTAAGTACTACCAATAGTTTTGATCTTCTCCAACTGCTTATATTTCTCTTCAGAAATACATGTTAAACATATCTAATCAATTTGGGTAAATACAATTAAATACAATTTCATTTTAATTTTGCAACTTATAAAGCGTTAAAATATGTTTTTAATTTACATATTAAAACTAGTGTAGGAAATTACAAATGTAAATTATATAATTTAATTTTCATTTTGCACTAAATGTTGCACATATGTATGGGAAAATGTACATTTAAATACAGAAATACATTGCCATTTTACATATTGCATTGTCATTTTGCAAATTACATTTCAAAATGAATTTTGCTACCCATATGCTTTCATAGAGAGAGGGCAGCACCATCTTTATAAATACAATGTTGAACATAGTAACTGATGTATAGTGTTACACTTTTGTAGATGGAAATTAATGGGGGACTCTAAGCTGTGTTTTGCCAAAAATAGTCTTGTATAAGCAAAGAGTTTATTATGTTGTGGTTACCTGGATATGATCAGGAACACCTGTGCTGTCCATGCGACTGGCCACATTCACTGTGTTGCCCCATATGTCATACTGAGGCTTTCTGGCTCCAATCACACTAGTAACCACTGGCCCAATGTTCAAACCTGTGGTAAAAATACATTTGTCATTGTCTGCTCTAACAAACTCCTAAGCCTCTGAGTCTGCAGGCCAATTCATAAATTGTCTTTGCACTTTCAAAGTTAAATATATATCAGGCAAAGTTCACGGTAAAGACCTACTTACCTATCTTCATCTGAAAGTTGTTGAATGAGTGTTCGTTGATGTACTTCATCTGTTCTCGTAGCCTCATGGCATAGTCAGCAAGAGCTAGAATGTGTGTGCGGCCCTCTTTGTCATACGTCGAGTCGTTCAATCCAGATGCTGCCATGTAAGTACTACCAATAGTTTTGATCTTCTCCAACTGCTTATATTTCTCTTCATATCCACAACATTTAGTATAAGTGGCACAGGTTTTATCTGTTGATCAGATGAGCGTCAAATTTGTTACTTACAGTAGATCAAACAATCATTGTAAAAAAAAAACACGTTTATGTCATGTCGAGATCACAAGAAAATATTAAGTTGTGATAACGAGAATAATAAATTCTCAGAAAACAACTTTCTTTATGTTGAGATCACGAGAAAACAAGAAAGAAAAATAATCATAATCCATGGCCTCTTAGGACTTCCATCATTTATTGGTCCTCAAATGTAAAAAAAAAAAAAAATTACCATGAGATTTAAACAGAGGTAACTGATAAAATGCAGTCTTTATCTTTTTCAATATGATTATACTTATAGTGGCTTTGTCATGATCAACTCTAGGTGGGAAAGAACAAATATTGATTGTGAATAATGTATTAGTCACTGGCCATTTTAGCAGTTCTTAAACCCCCAAAAAAGGCACAAAATATGTTTTGACACAGAAATGTCTTGAATTATAATTAGGGCTGTTGCTTTAGCATGTTATTTAATTAGTTATGGAAAAATAACGCAATTAAAATATTTTAACTTAATGAATGCACCAGCCCTGCCCCAGACCTGTACCTCATCTTACATTTCATACAGTTGACTGTTGACAAACATGATGCAGGGCAACAACTCAACTAATTTTTACAAGTAAATATAAAAAAGAAATTAGTTAATAAAGTAGTTCTCTTTGTCTTGTCAATACGGTTTCATTTTAACAGACACATTTTTATTAATATGTAGATGTATATGTAGAGTCGGCACTCTGTACTACTGATGATGCTGTAGTTTTTTTTTTGTTGTCATTTTAGTACTGACCTAATGCCACTGACTTACAAGACGACTTTTTACATATCCACTCTATATGCTTGCTGAAAATAACACTCACATTGCATTGGCGGTAACCAGCAGGTCGGCGTTGTCTAGCAGCGTGACTAGAGGCCACTCCACTAGCAGCAGGAAGCAGACCTGGATGAAGAGCATGAGGACCAGCTTGCCTATACTGCTGATGTGCAGGAACACTGAGCAGCACAGCAGAGTCAGCAGCACACTGTATGTGAAATACTAGAAGCATAGGAACAACACCATCATTCAACATGCCGTCATACTGTTACCATGACAACAAGGGAAAACTCATAATTTTTTACATAAGTTTGCATAAATTCTACAAACATTTTTTTTCAGTGGGTCTCAGTAAGCAAGAAACTGTTGATGTGCACACATCATACATGCACAGATGGTCACACACACACTGACCTCGGGTAAAAGACATGTTGAAGGCTGCCCGGGACAGAAGAAGAGGGGTTCCTCTGCTTGTCCAGTCAGATTATACAGCAGACACAGCGTGACTGAATCAGAAATATTCAACTGTCCCGCCACACATTTTAGCAGATCCTCCCGGTCACAGGTAAACTGACAGAGAAATTAAAATTTTAAAAATGATATATATGTATATAGTTTCCAGTAAGGAATCAGGGGGAAAGACATCTTTAAAATTTCATTCATATTTTAATTCAATTGAGCATTTAATCATTTTAAAACTTTTAATAATCCTACAAATATCAAATATTTATCAAATATTTACAGAGCTATATATTATTATTATTATTTCAATAGGAGGTGATGGCAACAACAGCATTTCCAGATTTAAAATGAAGAGTATATTAACTATATTTTAATTCACTCCTCATTTTAAATCTGGAAGAATGATGTCATCTCCACCTATTGAAATAAATAAATAAATAAATAAAAAATCCATCCAAAATTAATCAAAGTGAAAGTGAATTGAGTTTGAAAGCCCCGCTTAACTGGGGAAATTAGTGCTCATACTAGTGTAGAATTACACTGACATACAGAAAAAGAAAAAAAAAACTAACAAAGATTTTTTTCAGCCAGCAACAGTCTCAGATCGAATTCCTACCATATTAACGAAGGCAGAGGTGAAAAGAAGCAGAATTGTAAAGACTCCAACGAGTGTGCTGTTGACACGGGACTGAACAATCCTTTTTGACACTGTCTGCAAGGTAACTGGGAAAAGCTGAAAGAGAGACAAGAGGAAAAATTGTGAATAAATCAGAAAACGCCTATAAAGCATCATTTAGAAAAGTTGCACATTAATTTTTTTGAAAATGTAGTCTAGATTTTACATGCACAAATGTGAAGGATCAAGGAAGATAGTGACTGACCTTAACACAGGAGTAAATGGCACATATAAAGAGGACATGGGCGAGAATAATAAAGATGCTGATGAACATGCCCAGCATTAACGGTGTACTGCAAGACAAAATACACAACACCATTCAATATATAACATAACAAATATATATCTTAACATTAAATCAAATTCATTATAAAGAATACTTCATCACTCACTGTGGAAATATGATTATTTGTATAAAAACAATAAAGCAGAAGACGACGAGTGTACAGGCCACGTAACCACCAAAACGATCATCCACCTTTTTTGAATACTAAAAGCACAAAAAATGGTGTTACTGTTACCAGTTCAGACTTTTTTTTTTCAGTACTCTGAGTGCTGTACAGTTTTACAAAGCCGTCTACGGACCTTTTTCTCCAGAAAATGTGTTTGGAATGTGAGCAGGAACTTCTTGACGTGGTCTTTCCTCAGCTGGTCAATGCTACGAGCATCAATGGCACGACCTAAAAACTCATCGACCTCGTCCTCTGGGTTCAGAGCCTCTTGGGCACAGCGGCTGGAGAGAGTAACAAAAAGTATTCAGGATAAAAAAGGTGATGGCATAAAATGTAGCTTTTGATATTAAAAATATATAAACAATATCTCAGTCCCTATTTTGCTACTATTTTGAACCATTACAAAAAAATAAGCGTTAGTGGTGCCCAAATTGCTTTCTTGAATTGAAAACTAACCTAGAATATTCATTTTATGTTGGCTCTATTCTAAAGAGACTCACAGATTGTGAAAACAGCCTGTGAAATCTAACCCATAAGCCCCTGCAAAGCCAGAGAGAATGGATTTGTGTCCAAATAAAAGCAGAACTCACTTATCTTTGATGGAGGCTTCATCTATGCCCTGAAACCAGACAGGTAGATTAGTTACAGTGGGCAGTAAAAACACAGTGGAAGTAGAAAAACGCATTCTGGGTTTCATCTCAGACAGCTCCAAAGCCAACCCCACAGAGCCACTGCCGCTTTAATTAACACTCAGCGACTCCAAATTACATTCAGAGCGAGAGAGTGAGAACTCATGTTCTCGTTTTCCAGAAAAATATCAAAAAATTCTTAAAACAAGATAAATTTACTTGAAAAGCAAAACTCTCTAATAATATACTAGCATACTGTTAGGTTTATATATATATACAGGTGCATCTCAATAAATTAGAATGTCATGCATAAAGAAATACATAAAAATGTTTAATTAACAGAATATTTTGTATACATATAATTTTAAAGAATATATTGAAATAAGTTTTAATTTTGTTTTCTTACCCCAGTGGCTATTTTATTTATGAACCTCATTAATTCAAAATATAATTTTGCCTTAATCATTTTAAGGATGTTTATGTATTTTTTTTACACAAAAATAGTGATTAAAAAACTATATACATTTACTTGCGAACTAAGATAATATATTGTATTTTAATTTATAGTATATTTTGAATATATTATATATAAACACACATACATAATGTGTTTAATTAACAGTGTAACTTTATTTTATATATTATTTTAAAGGATATATATTGAAAGGTGTTTTAATCAAATTAAGTTTTCTAACACTAAAATGTTTTTAACATAAACCATAAGATTTTTTTTTTTTTTTAAATGTACAATATATTTTGTATGCATATTTCAAAGAACACACATTTTTATTTAAGGTTAAGTTCATTTAAGGCAAAACGTTTTTTAAACAAACTTCATAAATTCAATTTTGTTTCATTTTATTTTAAAGATGATTTTACATGAAATATGAAGTATTCTAATTTGTTGAGATAGTGAATTGGTGGGTTTTTGTTAAATGTGAGCCAAAATCATCACAATTAAAAGAACCAAAGACTTAAACTACTTCAGTCTGTGTGCATTGAATTTATTTAATACACGAGTTTCACAATTTGAGTTGAATTACTGAAATAAATGAACTTTTCCAAGACATTCTAATTTATTGAGATGCACCTGTATATAGATAGATAGATAGATAGATAGATAGTAAATATTGAATACAGTATGCATAAAGAAATACATAAAAATGTTTAATTAACAGAATATTTTGTATACATATAATTTTAAAGAATATATTGAAATAAGTTTTAATTTTGTTTTCTTACCCCAGTGGCTATTTTATTTATGAACCTCATTAATTCAAAATATAATTTTGCCTTAATCATTTTAAGGATGTTTATGTATTTTTTTTACACAAAAATAGTGATTAAAAAACTATATACATTTACTTGCGAACTAAGATAATATATTGTATTTTAATTTATAGTATATTTTGAATATATTATATATAAACACACATACATAATGTGTTTAATTAACAGTGTAACTTTATTTTATATATTATTTTAAAGGATATATATTGAAAGGTGTTTTAATCAAATTAAGTTTTCTAACACTAAAATGTTTTTAACATAAACCATAAGATTTTTTTTTTTTTTAAATGTACAATATATTTTGTATGCATATTTCAAAGAACACACATTTTTATTTAAGGTTAAGTTCATTTAAGGCAAAACGTTTTTTAAACAAACTTCATAAATTCAATTTTGTTTCATTTTATTTTAAAGATGATTTTACATGAAAAACTCATTTTAAAAAATCGTACGAACAAGCACAGCATTTCTAACATACAGTATAAAACTACTGGAAAACCAATTAATTCTCAATAAATAATTTAAACATTTATTTGAAAAAATATGTTTTGTCCATATTGTGCACTTGTTCTTTGCCCTCAGTATTAATACTGTCTGAAGCAATATTTCTTTGTCACACTATTTCCGTCCCTGCTTTTTTTGTGTGACACTGATGGAAATCAGAAAAGTCATCACCTGGAAAGGGGAAAAAGCAATTCACACATAGGCACTGCCAAGCTCCGGAGAAAATTGCTTCAATTATGACTTGTTGCTACACTCATAAAGAAGTGCAGGGGAGATCAGACGGCTTGAGCTGTTAGAGGCAGAGTGAGAGCGGATGGAGCAGAGCTCACCATCTGTCTGAAAACTTTGGAATCTTTAGTCCTGGAGAAAGATTGGTCAGGAACCCACCGCGGCATCAGACCCTCTGAAGAGTTGGCTCTAGCACGCTGCATCTTAGCCATCATTGCTTTTTCCTCTTTCTGCAAGAGAAATTTGGCACAAGGACACACACACAGGAAATTAAACCGTACTCCAGCAAACTCAAACAAATAGAATCTTTATTGATCCCCAAAGGGATATTCAGTCATTTGTATCAGGGCACAACAAAACACAGCCCCCACCACCAAATATTATGCAGTTGAGATCCCCTGGTTGTGAATTTGCAGGAATCAGAACAGGCTGCAAAGATCTTTGCAGTGAGTTTGTATATAAACAATGGCCATACGCCTGCATTTGACTAACCCTTTTCTGACTGCAGCCCAGCACAAAAAACGTCTCGATGTTGTTGTCTTTCAAGTAAGCATTTCTCTCCCCTCCAAAACCTGGTTCCACTTCATAGTCACCATTTAAATACTGCAGTGTGGCTTTGGTGATGTGGATCCGCCTGTAAACATTCACAACATTCGAGTTTTACTATTTAAAGGAATATTTCACAAAAAAATGTAAAATAAATAAAACTTGCTGCAAATTTACTCGCCCTCAAGTCATCCAAGATGTAGATTTGTTTGTTTTTTCACAGGAACAGATTTGTTGAAATTTAGCATTACATCACTTGCTCACCAACGGATCATCTGCAGTGAATGGGTGCCGTCAGAATGAGAGTTCAATTAGCTGATAAAAGCTTCACAACAATCCACAAGTAACCCACACGACTCCAGTACATCTATTAATGTCTTGTGAAGTGAAAAGCTGCATGTTTGTAAGAAACATATCCATCAAGGCATTTTAACATCTCTTCTGGACAAAATTTGAGTCCATAATCCATAATAATGCTTCCTCCAGTTAAAAAGTCCATCTCCTGTTGTCTTCTCACATCAAAATCCACCAACATATTTGTTTAGAACTATTTTCGCTTGTAAATGTGGCTTAATCTGTGCATATTTCTCTCCTGTGCTCAGGTGAGATGACGTTTTCCCTGCAGAAAGTAATATTATAGACAGATGACTCTTATTTTAACAGGATGCTAAAACCTTATTTTAGCCTTATTTTACCCGTTTGAAGTTGAGGTTATTTTAATGATGGATTTATTTATTACAAACACACAGCTATTGGCTTCACAAGAGTCGTGGATTACTTGGGGATTTTTGTGATGTTTTTATCAGCTGTTTGGACTCTTATTCTGATGGCACCCATTCACTGCAGAGGACCCATTGGTGAGCAAGCGATGTAATGCTACATTTCTCCAAATCTGTTCAGATGAAGAAATAAACGCATGTACATTTTGGATGGCCTGAGGGTGAATCCAAGTATGCTAACATCACAACATCCTATTCTAAATTTTCATTTTTGGGTGCACTATTCCATTAATACAAATCTCTACATCCTTTACAGCCAAGTTTAAATATCAAACTTATTAATACTGATCACATTTTTGATGGGTGGTGTTCACTTTTACCCTGCTTGACCTCCCGCCTCCATCTGGTTGGCCAGTGTGACATCGTTGGACCAGACATCAAACTGCCATTTGCGTAGGCCGAGCACCCCGCAGTGCACACGGCCGCTATGTATTCCCACGCGCATGTTCACGTTCACTCCTGTGACCTCTCGCACCAATCTGCACATGTAGCACGTGTGTGTTTTAATGGAAAAATGTGTTGATGAGGAAGAGAGCTCGATATAGAAAATGATGTGAAGAAAAACATACGAGATGGCCTCAATCATGTCCACTCCCATCTCCACACAGCAGTGCGCGTGATCTGCCCTTGGCTCCGGAAGTCCAGACACACAGTAATAACAGTCCCCCAGGATCTTGATACGCAGACAGTGGTTTTCCTAAGAATTCAGACAAAACACAGCACATTTATGCAACTATTATTGCGGAAATCCTCACTAATAGGATGTTATGATGTTAGCATACTTGTGGGTGGCTGCCATGGTTAGCTTTATGCTTGTTATTTGGTCTTTATTAGCATATCGGCTGTTTCTTGAGAATTGTTTTTTAATTTATCAGTAGACATTACATATATTTAATTGTGCATGCCTCTTTTTTTACAAGATTACATTTGCTGTTATCTAGCGCTCACATAAAGTTGATCATTTAAAACACTAATAATTTAATGACACTAATAACCGCGTTAAATGTAATCTTTAGCAAATGTCAAAATAAATATCCATACTTCACATGTTGTGATGCCTAAATTCACTTAATTTATTATTAGAAATTTTCTGAAACAAAATTATATACATTTTAAACATTCTATTTTGGCAAAATGGCACAAATAGTATACATTTTATTGGCCACTTTAACAGTTATCTGTCATCAAAAAAAAAAATTATTAGCTCATCAATATTGGCCAGAATAAAAAAGCAAAACTGGCACATTCTTAGTACACACTGTAAAAAAATAAAATTACTTTGCAATAAATTTTATTTAGTCTTGACTTTTTTTCCCAGCAATAATATCACCATTTTTAAAACAATATAAATTAACATGAGAAGCAACACTGCATAAGATACTTGTTTTAATGACTTGTTTGAAGATAATGTATCTTCAATAAAAATATGCAAAATTATTTAACCCTTTTTTAAACTTCTTTATATTTATAAAGTGAAAAAGTGACAAATTTAAGTCGCTTAAGTCACTTTTTTATGCACGCATAAATAAGTTATATATCTATCAATAGTTTAAAATTATATATATATATATATATAAAAATACAAAAACGTTATGTATATAGCTACTTACCTATTGTCACTATCTGTTAATAACCTCACTGTGAACATACAAATAGTTCTTAAAAATAGTAACACTAAAAATGTATTCATGTTGTCCACTTACCCAAGCCAATTTATCAAAGCGAGCAAAAAGCTCATTAAGGGTCATCACAAGCTCCTGAGCCGTGCACTGAGACGCCAAACTGGTGAAGCCCTCGATGTCTGCAAATAGGATACTGGCGCGAGAACAGACAGAAGACAAAGACAGACAGACAGAGAAAATGAGATCAATAATCACAGAGCACCTTGTCTGGGTCACTGAAGTTGGTTTGATGGGCTAACCGACAAAAACCATTGATTCAGTTCACTTTCTGAATAGAGGGTCGCCACTCTCAATACTCCAGTCCATCCTTCAATTAGAAAAAGCAGGACTCGGCTGGTGTCCTTAAAGGCCTCCTAGCCATGAGGAGGATAGATGGTCATCAACTACAATTTAAGACATGACAGAATGGACACACGGCATGGACGCATTATCATGCGACAACAGATGGCGCTGTTTCCTTCATAAATGGCTGATCAAATTCACAACATTTGGAAAGCAGGATCCCTACACAGTCTGTGACATTTAGCATTTTCACACATCCAAAGTTTTCCTAGCACAGATGCTTCGAGCTGGCTGGGATTATGCAGGACAATGTGTTCATAAGCGCTAAATTCCACACGCTCCAAACACGTAACTGCATTACTAAAGTGGCATGCTATCATTTCACACAGCTTTCTGTTAATTGATTGTGTAACTTCTGGTACATCATAACAAGCGGCTATAACCCAAATTGACCCTCAGAAAAAGAAGGGAAAAAAGATTTTAAAAAGTCACGTTTCAAGGACTAGCGAGTACGCTAATCTGCATTTAAGCAGTCAACATAGCTTCAGCCTTGGGAAAGATAACCTTAAGCGGTATCAGTGTCTAATGTGTCTGTGTTTTATCCAGACTTGTCGCCTGCTTCAATCACGTGCGGACTGAGTGTTATAACACTGCCGGTTCTCATACTGGAGGTGTGAGGACAACATTGGCAACCGTAATGGTACGACACCATGTGCTGGTCTTGGCATTTGTGTACCTGACATTGTCGTGCTTCTGGATGTAGATCTTGTGGAACATCATATCCTCTTTCTTGGCGTTGATGTCTGCCTTCATCTCCATGGCAACGTGCCTTGGCAACACAGAGAGCAGCAGGCGCTCCTGGATCAGGTTTGAGATGACACCAGTGAGCATGTGTATATATGTACACATACAGTCTACTTATATGTGGGTAGCTGACATAACTGAACTTTTTCTGAACATCAAGATTTTTGTGGATAAAATACTCAAACACATATGTATATGTGTGTGTTTATAAATATATACAATATACATTTACACAGTATGATATATACACAATATACATTTACACAGTTATTATTATTATTATTATTATTATAAAAAAAGACACAATGGCCAAAATATGTCTGCCTGTATGTATATGGCTGAAGGATAAATTTAAAGTTGTAACTTTTCTCACAGGGTTTTACAGTCTCACGAGGTTTTACTAAGAGCTAAAGCACAGCATGTTATCAACATGCTTCATGCACATTCATGAGGTAAACAAGTGTCGGGTGGGTAGGTGTGTTTGTGTACTCGAGAGCTTGCCAACCTGCTGCTGGTTCTCTCTCTGAAGGTGTATTCTGGCTTGGATGTATCCTCTGGTCTCCTTGAAGGCCTGTCTCTGAGACACCTCTGCTGGGTAGTGTGTGCAGATGCCAATGATGTTGGTGCACAGGAAAATCATCGCATTGGCACATAACTGCACAGAGAAAGAGAGAAGAGGAATGAAATGAGGAATTTCGGATGTGGAAAAGGTTAGACTATTTTTGTTTGCAATCTATGATAAAGATCACCACAGGTTTCAATTTGTTTTAAAGGTTTAAAAAAATTTTTTAAAGGCACAGACATGATTTTTTTAGCCCACTTAAACAGCTTGGTTAAATTAAAGCTGTACCTTCACAACACACACCACATAACACAGAGCACACAGAAATGGCCCAAACAGCTGAAGACCAATTCATGTAATAGTTTAAGGGGTTAGGCCTACTTTCTGCAGTAATATGCAAAGCATCCAGCAACCGGCTTTATGATTCAGGTCTTTTATCTCTACATCAGCACAAACATCTGGGCATTAGATGGTATGCGGTAAAACCTCTGTTTAAGAGAACTTAAGATGGTTTGCGGTTTTACTGCAAATGGTTTCTGAGAGTTCTGTAACAGTTATATGGACAGTATTTACATGTTAATCTCACAAAAACATATCCAGGTCACATGCCACAACAAATCAAAAGAAATTCTATTGTGCAAAAAGAAAGTCAAGCCTATTTTAAGACCATTAGGCACATTTCTCCCCCCATTTAGGTTTACATTTATTCAAATTAAACTGTTGTTACTGGGGTGTGTAATTCCTGTTGTATGAGTTTTGCCTTTTGTAGACAATGTTCCACAGATAGTTATGTCCTGTCTCTTCCTGGTATCCTGGTACAGATATGTTATCCGGTTTACATGGTCATAACATGAGTTGAAATATTGACTATGACTGTGAACACACAAGGTTGATACTTGATTATCACGTGTTAGAGTATGGTTCTACTATTAGTACCCCAAGCAATCATAATTCTCCATCAGTCCGAAACAGTTTGCCTGAGAGAATTTGTTGAGGCCCATTTCTCTGCAACAAGCATTTTCTACTTTGCCGAAGATGAACAATCTTTATTTATCCACTTGACAAGAAATGGCCCAGCAGAGCTTTAGAAAAATAGCTTCACTCCCTCTTTCAAGTGCCCCTAGAGTGAATGTACAAACATCTTCAGATTTTAGAGTTCAGGAAGAAAAGCCAGGCCCATCAGGCATCCATTTGCTCAGATGACGTTATCGGGTTGTGTAATTTTTAGTTTGGTCCATTTGCACAAGTTTTCCAAAACTAAAAAAGGCAGTTCTATTCAAAGGACTCACTAACACCAACAGTCTAATCCACCAAGCTGATTAGACATGGAAAATGTGTGGATGAGGCCGCAGACGTGACAGATTGCCATTTCTCCATGTGTGGACAGAAAAAGACTGCAATGGGATGTGCAGAAAGTAATCAACTAGGCGAGTAATTGTTCCCAACTAAATAGTTGACTAGCAAAATACTACTTGAATATCAAAACCTGATTCCTCTTTGATTAATCTGCCCTTGAATTCCTCACCTAAATTGCTGTTACAACAAAATACATTGGGTTATGCTGTGGATATTTCATATCAGACTGATATTATTGTGTTGGCAGATTGCATTTTCTCCACAGCAGGGCCTGTTGTTAACATGTGAAATTATACAAATGAGATGGTCTTTATATTGACACAGAGATTGTATGTGCAGATTATCCTAATGGTGGCAGTTTAATTTTCTAATGGGATTCTATGTAAGCACTTGGTGAGTAATTAATTTTTAATCTTGTTTGTTTTATTATTATTAAATGCATATTGTTCATTCATTTAAAAGAAAAAGAAAAAAAGAGAATAGCACATTAATATTGTGAAATAGAATTACAATTTAAAACCAGCTGTTTTAATATATTCTATTCTCCTGTAATATATAATAGTTGAGTTAAACTATACTGAATTGTACTAATAATCTGAATTTTCAGCAGCCATTACTTGGGCTTTCAGTGTCACATGATGCTTCAGAAATCATTCTAATATGCTGATTAGCTGCTCAAGAAACATTTCTTATTATTATTAATGTTGAAAACAGTTGTGCTCCTTTATTTTTATATTTTTGTGGAAACTGATGTGTGTTTTCAGGATTATTTGATTTGACAACATTTTTTAATAGAAATATTTTATGACATTATAAAAGTCTTCACGGTCACTTGATCAATTTAATGCTTCCATGTTGAATTAAAAAAATATGAATTTATTTTTAAAAAAGGTACTGACCCCCAAACTTTTGAACAGTAATGCACACATCATACTCGTTATTTATAGTAACTTACTAATTTTAAGTAATTAATAACTTGTTTTTATTGTTATGAAAATTTTAAAATGCCAATCCCTAAAATGCACCAGTTTTCCATAAATGTAATGGTGGCATTTGACCAGAATCACCATCAGTAGTTAGCATTAGTGTGCTAATGTCATTGTACTGATACACAACAACAAGCTTCCCCGTTTTATTCATGTAGCATCTGATATACAGCACAGCAGCCCCCCTCAGTTCATCTATATCACACTAGATCATACCAGTGAAATTTTAAAAAGTGGTTGACATTTAAGCTGACAGATCTGACAGAAGGAATGTCACATGCTTTTAACTCACAGCAAAACTGATTAAATGAAACTGTCTAAATGATCACTCAACGAGCATGTGTGTGTGTGTGTGACAATGAGCCACACATGGAGCAGTCAGTCTGTGTGTGTAGAAAGATTCTTCCTTTCAAAAAGTTGAAACATTGTCTTATAAGGTGGTAAAGTGAACCTTCTTCTGCTTGTAGCACAATTTAGCTGTGCCACAAGGGTAGCTAAAATGAATGAGATACAGGAAAGGCTAAGAAACAGAAAGAAATCCAGACTAACAAAAGAAATAGTTACACTCTGTGTGTGATCAAGAGAAGCTCTTGCCATCTCCTCTGAACGATGTGGATATATATCACTGACTATGAATTACATGTCATTACATGTTTTATTACTATGAAATAATGATGGCGTTTAAGATTTTAATGTGCTGTAGTGTCACATGATTCAAGACTAGAGCAGAAATTCAGATGTTGTTGCTGTCTTGGCAACCACAAGTTGCACAAAAACAACAAGTTATATGAGGAGTGGTGTCACTTCCAGATGATTAACTTTGTCAAACATGACTTGTGCTAGGGTGGATTTACTCTCAGTTCACTTTGTTGGAACAAAGGAAGTAATGAAGAAGGGAAGAAAGAAAAAAAATTTAATTAAAAGAAAATGGAAGAAAGATAGAGAAAAAGGAAGGGAAAATGTTTTTTTGCTTTATTAAATTATTTTAGTTTAAAATGATAACTTTGGTTTCCAATAAATTTCCATTAAGGAAGGAATGAAGGAAGACACAAAGAAAAATGAATAGTAATGGGATGGAAGGAAGAAAGTAAGAAAGAAAAGGAAAGGAAAGGAAAGGAAAGGAAAGGAAAGGAAAGGAAAGGAAAGGAAAGGAAAGGAAAGGAAAGGAAAGGAAAGGAAAGGAAAGGAAAGGAAAGGAAAGGAAAGGAAAGGAAAGGAAAGGAAAGGAAAGGAAAGGAAAGGAAAGGAAAGGAAAGGAAAGGAAAGGAAAGGAAAGGAAAGGAAAGGAAAGGAAAGGAAAGGAAAGGAAAGGAAAGGAAAGGAAAGGAAAGGAAAGGAAAGGAAAGGAAAGGAAAGGAAAGGAAAGGAAAGGAAAGGAAAGGAAAGGAAAGGAAAGGAAAGGAAAGGAAAGGGGAAGATGGAAAGACAAATGGAAAAAGAATGGAAACTAAAGGGAAGGAAAGAAAACGGAATGGAAAAAGGAACAGAAGAAAGAAAGAAAGAAAGAGAAAGAAACTAAAGCAAAAGAAAAGGAGAAAGACTAGGACTTGGAGTTTGGCCTTTTTGGCACTGAGCTAAGTCATAGTTTGGGCCAAACTAAATTGGTCTCAGCTGAGCAGTGAAGCCATAGAATGATCTTTGAGAAAAATGGCACCAAACACAATGGACTCAGCAGATCTGGACCAAGGCCATGCAACAGATAAAGAAAGAAATACTTCTGAAACATGATTTTAAAACATAAATGCATATCTCCCAGAGACAAAGGGAGATTTTCAAAACAAAGCTTGTTGCTAATGGCCCTCTTCATCAACCACATTCCTTATTAGGATAATTTGAAAAACAATCATCGGGAGATTTCAATGTTTTTTTTCCCCAGGAACCCCACCCATTTAGCATCTGAAAGCCCTGTACATACAGCTGCTATACCATAAGGATCAACTCTCTATCTTCCAGTCCTGATCTCAGGAGCCATTGCATAGAGCAAACAAACAAGAACAGAGAAACTTAGAGCAGGAGGAGTGGTGGAGAACGAGTGAGAATGAAAAAAAGAGAGGCACAACATCTAAATGAATAGATAAGTAGGCAAAACAGTCAGTTTCTGAGAAGTCACCGTTGAGCGAAAGCTCTGGTTTCAAAGGGCTGTTTCATAAGAAAGCCAAAGCCCTACTCGCACTGGAACTCGGCCCAGAAACTAAACTTTATATACACACATACGTATAGGACCTTACCCTAGGATTTAGTTAAAGGTCCATTGAGGCCTATATCCAGAATTTAATCATTATGTTTATTTGAAGGGATTGTTAGATGCTGCTGGAGTGTTTTGCAGCATGAATGAAAAAGCTTTTAAGGTTTAAGGGTGGTCTGTGAACTGCCTTACCAAGAAAATTCCTAGAAAGACAAACTTATAAAAACATCTTTGACCTCAAATGAACTTGTCATATCTACTGAGGTCTCATCCCTACATAAATGACAGCAGTCAAATGCAGGCATATGAAATGTGACTTTACTACCGAGCATTTTAAGCTATGATTTATGGCAAATAAATTGTAGTTTATGAGGATTTAAAGTCCACTCATAAACATTTCAAAAAGCATTTGTTGTGCAAGCGAAATGAGGTTAAGGCCAAAGTTTGCTCCCTCTTAAGCCAAAATGCAGGCAGGAAGATGAAGCCCACTATGCGGGCCATGGAGAATCAAAGTCACTTCCTTCATGCTCCACTATGGGATGGTTTATTTCTTTATCATTCATAAC